TTTTTTTTTTTTTTTGGATACTTACAAACATGCCAGAAGCTGGAGGGGTCCAGCTGACAATGTCCCGGGGAAGATGCTTCTCGCACGCAGCCATCAATGCATTGCGCTTCTGCGTGTACTCTGCGCGCAGATTCATCAGCCACTGGAGATAGCCCTCGTGGCCCCAGGTTTCGTCGAGCAGCTTGTGCAGAATGACTTGCGAAAACCCGCTGGGCCCTTGCGAGGCGACTTCGGCGTGGCGCTGGTAGCGCTCGATGAGCTGTTTCGAGGCTACTACCCAGCCGAGTCGTGAACCGGGGGCCAGGACCTTGGAGAAGGAGTCGAGCCGCATCACGCGGCCGTCCACGTCGATGCTGACGTACGACGGCACCAGCGATGCGACGAACTCGTCGATGGTAGCGGGAGGGGGGGATTCCCCTTGACCGTAGGGGTCCATTTGCAGGAAATAGTATGGCTCGTCTTCTATGACAATCATGTCGTGCTTCTGAGCCACGGCATATATGGCCTGGCGACGCTCTAGACCCTGCGTGGCACCGGTAGGGTTCGAGCCGGACGGGACGGTGTACAGTACATGAGGCTTGCGGAAGCCTCGAGCGCCTTCATCCCAGTTGCTGAGAAGCGCATCCATTGCCTCTGCGACAATGCCTTGGCTGTCAACCGACGTGCCAAAGATGCCGACACCGAGCGGCTCAATCGTTTCCATGGCCGTCGAGAAGCCAAACTCCTCCGTCAGCACGGCATCGCGGCGGCCCTTGTCGCAAAGCATGCGCATCGCCTGCTCCAGGGCTCCGGTGCTGCCAATGGTCTGGCAGATGGCCCAGTCGGCGTAGGGCGGCTGGCAGATGATTTCGGTGTGCTCGGTGAGATAGCGCATCATTTGCGTCGAGCCCGTCGACTGGCCGTAGTTGAGCGCAATGGACAAGTCGTACTCGGCCTTGCCGTCCTGCATGTCATACTTGCCGATTGTGGCGCGCGCGCCAGCCTCGGAGGTGGCCTGCTCCGAGAATTCGGGCACCACGGGGATCTTCATGGAGAGCTCGGCAAAGGGGAAGACTTGGCTGGAAGGCAGACCGCTTCCCAGCGAAATCAGGCCTGGCTTCTTGAGAAACTGGGCAGCTTGCTTGAGCGCGCATGGCTGGCGCAGTCTGCTTTCTTCGCTGATGTGGTCTATAGAACGCACAGAGTTTTTAGTGGCAGGAAGAAGCATTTCTCGGGTGGTGTGCAAGTGGACTCACGATCCCATCGTTTTGCTGTTGGTTTTCCATCTTGCTTTTTTTTTTTCAAAGTCAGCTTTTTTGCCTTGAAATTGGGGTAGTCTCGTAAAAAAATCACAACACGTACCGGTCCCTTGAACATGTCACTGTTGGACGCCGCAGCGACGCCGGCAACAAGCTTACCGGCATCGACACGGCGCTTCTCGATTTCCTCAATGACCTTGGTAGCCGGAGCTCGATTGTACAGCATTTTGACGGTTCTGCGCTGTAGATGCTATGGTCACAAATGTGACAGTTGCTCGATCCCAGCTTTGTAGTCCAAAAGTCATGTTGGGCGTCGTTTTGCCAAGAAAAGGGCGTGCGTGGGGTCACTGGCCATTGGCTTGCAAATAAACACCGGCCGGCTTCGCTCCGTGGGCGCAATTCACGCCGCCGGCGTCGCTTCTACTTGGTAATTTAGCTTCCGGGTGCTAGCCAAGTGGCCCTGGGTAGCTGCCTGCCCAGATCATGTTTACGGTGGATACACAAAGCCCAGACAAGTTCGGCTCCGATCGGAGTCTACGCCGAAGGGCTTATCGTACGCCGAAGGGGCTTCATTCCGGGGTCAATGTTCCCATCATGCGACAACGAAAAATATCGTTTCGTTGAATCGGAGAGTAGACGACTTAAATTAAGCATTGTGAAAGCCAAGAAACGCTCCATATTTCTCGAGTCGGCTTTTGTACTCGGTACTTGTAACCCCCCACCCCCCCTCTGACTGACACCAACTAACTGGTCATATGATGAGGCGTGCTATTTCGGACTACATCTTTCGCTAGCCCGACAGGCCCGACTAATAATAACTATCTACACGTGGTTCGGAACTCGTCAGACTAGCCAGTCTACTTGTGTACCTAGAAAAAGGCGAGGACACCACATAAAATCAAGTATCGTCTAATTCATCTTCCCACTAGGTACCTTTACCGCCGCCTCACTTTGACATTTGTACACTGTTGGCTGCTGGCTAATACGGCCGAATTGCTAAAAACACACATTTTTTGCCTCTTCAAGCCAGCGGCGCTAAACCAAGGATGAGCTTTTAATACAGATTTTTTTTTTTTGAACAATTATCGCGAAATATCACGAAAAAGTTTTATAGGCGGCGGCTATGAAGACTACATAGTTATTCAACAATGCAAACTGTGCGTGCGCCAATGAGCTCGATGATTTCAGCAAAGACTGCAACTTTTGCACAAACTACCTTGTTTTCGACTGCCATGACTTTTTACTTTGCACGACGTTGAAAATATCGGACAGGGCCGATTTTTAAACAAGTTCCTCACGCATCCTGTCTGATTCTCGGCTAGGGTCAGGCTGATGAAGATGTCGCAATAACCCGCCTTACCGGGTGTTAGCCGCTGGGGATATATTATCACTTGCACTGCTATTTGTATACCTCGTGTCAAATCACAGCTCGGCTATCAGAATTTGAAGTCACGGATGGAGGCGCACAAGTTCCGCTTGCGCTGACGTCCTTTGTGTGGCAGCTCTTGATTTTCGGTTGGAGTATCATCTTGCTGTAGACCGGCTTCCTGTTCGGATTCTGAGCACGGGCAGTGTGGCAAAAATATGAGACATGTTACCTGCGGGTGTCTTTGGGTGGTAGAAGAGCGATATCCCTCAACATCATCAAGCACCGCCCTTGTACAACGGCGACTGGGATTTTGGGCAGAGATAAATATTGCGGGGAAAGAGCACCAGTCTAGATCAGCCTTGATTCACCGTCGGGTAACTGGTTTGGACTTGGAGATGCTTTGTTTGACCCGTTTCGTTTGACCCTGATGCAGTTCATCTTTGTTCAATGGCACGGTGCTGACTTCTGTTGCTGTGACGTCAGTCCTTCATGCCTTGTTCGTCCGGGCGGCTCGATGTGCATGTGAGGTACTGGAAGTTTCCCGAAAACTAAAGAACTAGTATCAGCCTTGTCACCCTCCCGGTATGCTAAGAATTCACACGTCATGCAACGGCGACACAGCCGCACGTCTGTTGGTCAGCTCTGAGCCTGGGTGCAATGAAGCTCGAGGAAAGACGGGTGATTGTTCATCACTATGAAAGCAGTTCTTTCAATCTTTTCAACCATTTAGAAACATATGTCAGACCAGGCGAAGATCAAGCAAAGCAGCAAATATTGACTGACGAGGTAAAGCTGTCAACCTGGCTCACTGAGGATGACAACAACTCATCGTGACTGCCCGTTAACTTATCCTGCTCAGCATCAATTTACCAAGATATGCATTATCTCTTTTAACTGTTTCGGACATCACCAAAAGGTCCCAAGGTGCTTTGTTGATTTACACCAACGTCAGCCATGCGGGATGGTTGCTTGTGAGCCGTGGTGGCTGATTGTCACCCGCGTGTCAGTGCGGCTGTGATACTGTAGCAAAAAAATGACAGCTGATTCTGAAACCCGTATTCAGTAGAAGGTGGCTGCGCTTCCAGAAAGAATGTTGTGCCATCTACAGGCGCCCAGTGCAACAGCTGTCCATAGCCAGTTACACTGTGATACTGTAGCAAGAACTGATAGCTTAACTTGCAACTCGAACTCGGGAAAAGATGAATCCGTGTTCAGAAATAATTCTGTGCTTCCTTCAGGCGCCAAGTATAACAGCTGTTTATTCATATACCTAGTCACACAACGTAGAACAGCCGCGACCTCGCCGGAAGGCCGGCAGTAACATGTTCCATCTGCATAACGGACAATGTTTACTCAAATCTCTTATGTATATATATATATGTCCTTCACGGCACTTTCATAAATGCGCAAAACTATCTTAATTTATATTTTCTTGGGCATAGCTGTACGCCAGCTACCACTGCAGTTTTCATGATTTCGACATTGATGGCCGTCATGGAGCTGAATCAGGGCGACGACGATACGAGCTTGACCTTGGCTCGGCACGCACTGAAATGCATGACAGCATTTGATAGGTTCTTGGCCGCTGCGCAAACGAGACAAAGGTTCATTTTCATGCAACGCAAGAAGAACAACTTTTTCTATTGGGCGACGGCCATGAAAGTATTCGAGCCGCCAGAGGTCTCGTTGGACCACCGGCTCAGAGACAGTCCCGCAATGGTCGAGAAGATACATCAGCTCTTTGACGTCATTCTTTATACCCTCACTCCTGGTGAGTCTCATCTCTCTCTCCAGCTTTGACCGATTGTTTAAAGTTGCGTACATGTCTTGGCTAATTTTGTTTTTGTTTTTTTAGATACAGTCAGCGCGCACACTTTGCAGTCCGAGGAACCTCCGACCACGAAGAAACGACGTCTTTCAGAATCGGGCCGCGCAGAATTTGACAGAAAAAATGAGGAACCGAGCAATACCAATAGTAGTCGGGATGAATTCGACATCACTTTGGCCCAGATGGACTTTACAATCGGCGGAACAGTGGCGTCTCTCTGGCGCTTGTTTTACGACCTTCGGCTGTCCAACGATTCGGCAGAGGCAATCCCTCTGAACCCAAGCTTAGACAAGGGCTGGTCTTCTTCGTCTAAGCCTCATTCAAACCACACGCACAACACCTGCGGGAAGAAATCGCCGAGCTCCATCTAGTGAGCCTGTTATTTCTTCAGCCAAATGTCTTGCTTCAAGAGCTTTCCCGCGCGGAGAGTATTGTGCCCAGGATATACTAGACGTTGAAAATTTAGACTAGTTGGATAGAGCGGATTATGTAGTGATGATAAAGATTTTTCAAAGAGGGTTTGCAAATTTTGTAAAAGAGCTTGATGTAGAGGAGAGCGGTGAGACTACAGTGGCATCGCTTCATCGTGTAGTGTGTGAGACGAGTCTGGCTGCAACGTGTTTTTTCTCGCTCGACATTTACCAAGTTCTTTTTTTCGGAGCAATTCAATAATAATCATGTTTGGTGTCCAAAGCTCAGAAAGAGTGCGCGTGGACAATAATGGCTTACTGATGACCAAGCGCTACATCCTACCAACGAAAAGTTACTCAAGTCTTACTACGTCATGCTTGATCTTTTCAAAAAAAAAACCCCCCCTTTTTAAAGAGCTTTATCATCTTTTTGATCTCCTTCTTCGCTGCCTTGAACTTCATCTAGCAAACGCCTGGAGGCTAATGCAACATCACCCCCCGCGTCCGCAATACGCTGATGATATGCTTTCATGTTCTCGCTCACAAGGAGGCTGTCGCTTGTAAAGAGAAGGTTCATTTCCTCGAGAGATCGTTTCGCCACCTCGGGATACAAGTACCAGACGACTGGCATTGCCGCAATATTCATCACGCCAAAGAAGATGTATGTTTTGTAACCGAGTTTCTGGAGCATGATTGGTATCACAAACTGCGTCATGCCACATCCAGCGGCCCAGCCAAAAATGGTAAAACTGTATCCCTTGGCTCGAATCTCTTGGGGCCAAATCTCAGTACCATAGATCCAGCATGGTACAATGTTGAACATGGTGAAGAACCTGGCGCCAGTCAGTCAGTCAGACATAGTCAAGGGGGGAAACACTGTTCGCCTGTCTACAACGTACCAAAGGTAGACAAATACAAACGATGCTGCAGTCGTACCAAGCTGTACTGACTTGACCGGATTCGTGGTCGCAGCGTCCTGTGAGGTCTTGACAAATGCGGCCACCAGAAACAGCGCGACACCCTGTGTGATGAAAGATACCAGTAGGGACTTGACTCGTCCCATGCGATCAATGACGAGGGCTGCAGCTGCAGTGCCAGGGATACCAAACGTGTTGACAAGTCCAGCTAGCCACAGTGACTTGTAAGCGTCAAACCCAGCGAGGCTAAACAGTTCGCCCGCCCATCCTACAATCGCAAGGATCCCAGTCCATTGCTGAATCCACTGAAGAGCACAACCCATGACTGCTCGCCGACCAAGGTGTAGCCTGCCAGAGTACCGGCCTGCTAGAAGAATATTGATAAAATCACCACGTTTCTGATTCTTGGTTGCGAAAGTGGCGTCCAACTCGGCAAGCTCTGTCACGATCTTGGGATCATCGGGAGACAGGTCGCCTCTGATCTTGCAGAGTATCTCGATGGATTCCCGTCGTCGTCCCTTTGAGATTAGCCATCTTAAAAGTATTAGCACCGAAATTGGAAAAAAAAAAAAAAAAGGCACAGTCGCACAGTCGGGCAAGTGTACTTGCCTTGGCGATTCTGGCAAGAATGGGAGGGCAGCGGCGACGATGAGGAGCGGGATCGCCATGAAAGCCAGGGGAAATCGCCAGCGAAACTCGAAGCTTGTATTTCGAACACCAAAGTTTAACCAGTATGCGATGACAATACCAAGAAAGTTGGCAATGAAGACGAGCGAGAACTTGGCGCCGCGGTCGTGCGATTCGGAGATTTCGCTGACCCACGGCAAGACAATGACATTGACGAAGCCGATGCCCAAACCGGTTACTATGCGTGCGCAGAGGAACATGCTGGAGTTGATACTGCCAGACATGAGGCCTGCACCGAGTATTCCGAGCAGTATGCCAATGACCATGCCGCGCTTGCGACCAATCTTGTCTCCAACCCATCCTGCGCAGAACATTTTTGATTAGCTTTGCGACTTTTGATTTATACAAATTGTTGATAGAACGGACCACCGATGAAGCAACCCCACATTGCTCCAAAGTAATATGCTGCTATGAGACCGCCCTGCTTGACCGAGTTTATCACAACACCATTAGAACCGATTTTGGCCATGGCAATGAAGCCGGGGGTGGAGCTGACGGTGCCCATGACACCTTGATTATAGCCTGGTTTTGCCATCAGCCTGCAGTCATGCTTGGGGCCAAGGACTAAAGTAGTGAGTGACCTTCAAAGATCAAGGCTGTCGCCGAGATGATGTCGGTGAAGAGGAGGACGGCCTTTCCGGGCGCATGGCGCCAAATCTCAAGTTTGGCCATTCCAACTGAATCGGAATCAATGTAGTTGGGAAAGCTTTGAGTATGTCATTGGGGGGTATTGTAGACTCCCAACAGTTTTTGTCGATTTGTCTAAAAGAAGAATCATGTCTACGATACTTTCATCGAGTAGCCCCCTGGCATGCGCGTATTGACTCAGCTTACAAAGTACAGAATTCCCCCGGACAACAACTTGCGGGGTCCGGGGTCGCACAATGTTGCGGGGTTTGGGATTTCGATGAAACATTTGAACGCTTGCATGCTTGGTACAACATTTACCAGATGGATTGGGCTTTTTATGCGTTTAGGCGGACGTCGCATTACAGGGCAGGCTTAGGAAGGTTGCTCGCGCGGGGGTCAATATTGCTGCCTGAACATATAAGCTCCATGGTTTGCGGCTGAGGAAGCAGTTCAACATTGGGAATCGGAAGCAACTTCACAGCAGGTAATAAATCATCTACCATCAACATGGGCTCTCTTCAATACCCTCTAGCCAGACCCCTAGACTTGACCGTCTTGGGTCTGAACTCGGGCACGTCCATGGACGGAATCGACTGCGCACTTTGTCGTTTCAGACAAAACTCACCTGAAGATGCCATGCACTTTGAACTCTTGAAATATGACGAAGTGCCTCTAGAGCAGGGCGTCAAGAAGCGAGTCATGGGCATGATCCTCGCAAACTCCACCACACTGGAAGAGATATCCAAAGTAAATGTTGTCCTAGGAGAAACATTTGCAGATGCTGCCATTGCATTTTGTACGAATCATGGCATTGCGCTGTCGTCAGTTGATGCAATCGGCTCGCATGGCCAGACTATATGGCTGGTCAGCATGCCCGAGCCGGGCCAAATGAAGTCGGTCTTGACCATGGCAGAAGGCAGTATACTGGCAGCACGAACAGGAGTTACCACGGTTACGGATTTTCGCATCTCTGATCAAGCGGCCGGGCGTCAGGGCGCTCCGCTTATCAGCTTCTTTGACTCCCTGGTCCTGCGCCATCCGGCCAAGTTGCGCGCCTGTCAGAATATCGGCGGCATCGCTAATGTGTGCTTTGTTCCGCCGGACGTTAATGGTCAGATTAACACGGAGTTTTTCGACTTTGATACCGGGCCTGGCAACGTCTTTATCGACGCTGCGGTGCGATACTTTACCGACGGAGAGAAAGAGTACGACAAGGATGGCGAGATGGGCAAGGCTGGCAAAGTCGACCAAGAAATCGTCGACAAGTTTTTGGCTGCGCATCCCTATTTCTCGCGGGATCCTCCGAAAACGACTGGGCGGGAAGATTTTCGCGATACAACCGCTCATGCGCTCATCGGCGAGGGCATCAGAAAGGGCCTCTCCCCAAACGACGTCGTCGCGACCATTACGCGCATCACGGCACAGGCGATTGTCGAGCACTATAAACGCTATATGCCGACGCAGTACGGTCCGCTGACGGAGATTTACATGTGCGGCGGCGGCGCCAAGAACCCCAACATTGTAGATTTCGTGCAGCAAGCATTCCCAGAGACGGAGATTGTCATGCTGGATGTCGCGGGTATTCCGTCGGATGCCAAGGAAGCGATTACGTTTGCCTGGCAGGGGATGGAAGCCATTGTCGGGAGAAGCATACCGGTGCCTTCGAGGGTGGAAACGAGGCGGGAGTCTGTTTTGGGCAAAGTGAGCCCAGGCCTGAATTACAGAAGAGTCATGAGAAAAGGACTGGATTTTGGAGCGGGCAGAGACTACCTCGCGCCCGTGAAAGAGTTGGTCAATTATGTTGGGGGCCAAGCGTTTGACAATAATAAAAACTAAGTAGACGCTGGCCAGCTCGAGGGTGGATGTGTAAGTAAAGGTGATGGATAGATGGTCATGGTGTAGTAATAGTTTGAAGCGTGCATAAAATTTTAGTGAAATTGTTCAAGGAAATGTCTTTAATAATGATCACAGCTGCGGATACACAAAATCGATAGCATAATGCACAAGTGGCAGGTGTTGCATGCTAAATAGAACAAGTCCGCCCTACCTATCATGGTGACGATAGCCTGTCATGGGAATTGTCACAGCGTCGAACTGCCTGCCATCTTTCCTTCCCACATTGCAGCCACAAGATGTAGGGAAAAAAAGAAAAATCGAAAATAAACTCATATAATCTGCACAATCATAAATATAATTGAAAAAATCCTCCAATTACTTTCCTGCTTTCTACCTTCTCAAACCGCTGCCTTATGTAAGCTACGCTACAAGCTTGAAGCTTCGCTCGTGATGAAGAGCATGAGCCCACTCTCCCACGCCGATCAGCCACTCCGCATAGCACCCTCGAGGCTGTCGCCATGTACTGGCCCATTGGAACGCCGCGCATTTTCGCTACGAGCAGCAATCGCGCGTCCGGCTCCCGTCTGTTTGTCTCGTATGATGGCGTCTCCGGCCCAGACGAGCCCGCCGAGCCCGAGCCCGTGCAGGAGAACGGCGCAGATGTCACTCCCCCGTGGACGCCTGCGACGCCCGCCATCAAGTCGGTTGAGCTTGGAGACGAGCCGCCTGAACCTGCAACACAGGATGAACAACAAACGATACCTCTAAGGGATCCGGTACTGGCGCTCCGCGTCTCGCGCTCCGGCAACATGTTTGCTGTCATCACCGCGACGTCGATTACGCTGTGGCAGACCAAGGTGCGTCGTTTTGATCGGCGTTGAAATATTTGCTGCTGACCTGACGCTTTGTAGCCCACGGTAGTTTTGGCCGTCGTTGTCCGATCGCAATCGTCCCTACAACTATACGGCCGCAATGTTGACCTCCTTCTCCGACCCGATTCCGCAATCCTCGTCGTGCGCACCAGCGAGGGCTACCTCATCACCTATTCAATCGCAACCGATGGCGAGTCGCGCGTGTACAAATCGCACTTTCCAAATTATCACAACGTACAACGACGCCGACAGAGCCTAGTAGGCCCACAGACTGGCTTGCGGCCGGAGCAATACTTATGGGGTCCCGGGGAAGGCACAGGCGTTTTGGACGTCAGTGTACGCTTTCGCATGGTGATTAAAGTTGACGCCGGTATTGAGTCTGCCCTGGCGCTGGATGACGAATTGATTGTTGCCACCGCCAAGCCCGCTGCCGTACAATGTATCCGGTGGACGCCAGACAGCACAGGCAGCCAGACACGGACTGAGATCCTGAGTCGCATGGGCTGGGTCGGGAAGAAAGTGTGCATAACAGAAATGACCTACGACCGGCCAATGAACTTGTCGACATGGATCACGAGCGACGGTCGAGTTTACGCCGTGCAACGACACAAAAACACCTCTGAAGACGACGATCCCAAGAAATTGTTCCAAGGTCATTGCTTCCACACCCCCGAGGGAGACCGCGGGCATGCGGTCCGTGCCGTAATTAATGCTCGCTTCTCACTGATTGCTGTTGGCTGCAGCGACGGAACCGTCCAGGTATATTCGGTCAGGGACTATTCCGGCAATATCACACTGTCACATGGCCAAATCATTCCCGCCTCGACGTCAACGGCCGGCGCCCTCACAAGCCTTGGCTACTCTCCGGATGGCTATTGCCTGTTTGCTGGCTTTGAAAACGGATGGGCAACGTGGAGCATGTTTGGAAACCCTGGCAGCCACAGTTTTGGCGCTGAGCAGTCTACTGCGGATGAGCCCTGGCTCTCGGGAGTAGACTGCGCGTCCTGGGTCGGCGGCGGCTCCGAGATTCTCATGATTGGGCGTCATAATGAGGCCATCTGGTCTCTGGAAATGGCCAAGAGTGCAGTTACGGGCTGCTACAATGATGCCAACGTATTCCGCACAGTCTTGCAAACATCAACAGGCATCATGGTCTACCGTGGCTACGATCTTCCGGACATGACCTCGATCTCGGCAGAACCATTCCTATGGCACACGGCGAGAATTCCAGCTCCTTACCTACTACATCAGTGGCCGATCAAACAGGCTGTCATTTCACCTGATGGACGCTATGTGGCAGTGGCGGGTCGCAAGGGCTTGGCCCATTATAGCGTCAACAGTGGCAGATGGAAAACATTCGCCAACGAGTCACAGGAGAATGAGTTTCAGGTACGTGGTGGCATGTGTTGGTATCAGCACATTCTTGTTGCTGCAGTTGAAGGCAACAAATCATATGAAATTCGCCTGTACTCGCGCGAAACGGCGCTGGAGTCTTCGCAAGCCCTCTACACACAAAAAATTCCCGCTCCCGTAGTGCTGGTCACTACATCGGGAGAGGATTCTCTTCTTGTCTACACATACGAAAACCTTTTATATCATTTCATATTTACTCCGTGGTCCGATTCGGTGCGCCTGGTCCAAGTTGGCCAGATTGCATTCCACGGCATTGTCCGATCCCCCGCTAGAGTGCGCGGTCTGAGCTGGATCCTGCCCGAGAATCAACTCGTGGACGGCGATCCCTCGCAGGATGTGGCCGTCGCTTCCGTCATCTTCCTGGTGGACGGCAAACTAGTTCTGCTCAGCCCCTCGCTCAATGACGAGGGCCAGCTCAAGTACGACATGCGCATCATTGCACAAAATGTTGAATATCATGCCAGCATGCGTGACCAGCCACTGCTCAATGTGGAGCGCGACGAGACACATGGATCGCCTGCGCTGCGCGACTCGTTGTGGGTGTTTGACGGCATGCATGTAAAGGGCTGGGCCAGTATTCATGATGTTCTCAATGCGGCATCAGACGGAACCAAAGAGCTACCAGCGCCGGTGTCGTTCCCAGTCGACTTTTACCCGCTGTCGATGCTGCTGGAAAAGGGCATCATTCTCGGAGTCGAGTCGAACCTTGTACAACGGCGTGATGTCAACTTTTCATTTTTCCGATTTACTATTCGAGTAAGTCATGGTCTTTAACCCTCTTCTTCTAGCTCAGACACTCACCAAGTAGACACATCTGGTACTACCCGACGTCCTCCGTTTCTATCTGCGCCAAGCCATGACGGCAGAAGCTGTCACGCTGTCAGAGCAGTACCAGGACCTGGCGTACTTTTCACACGGTCTCGAGATTCTCCTGCACCGTGTGCTCGAAGAAGAGTCCGAGGACTCGCCACCGCCCGAAGAGGCCGTGCTCCCGCGCGTGCTCTCGCTGCTCTCCTCGTCCAAGGACTACCTGGACGTGGTGCTGCAGTGCACGCGCAAGACCGAGGTGCGGCAGTGGAAGACGCTGTTTGCCTACCTGCCGCCGCCGCAGGAGCTGTTTGAGGAGTCGCTGCTGCGCGGCTCGGTCAAGACGGCGGGCGGCTACCTCATGATTCTCTACACAATGGAGGAGCTCGGCCAGTCGACGGAGCAAAGCGTGCGCGTGCTGACGCGCGCTATCCGCGAGGGCGACTGGGAGCTGTGCAAGGAGCTGGCGCGCTTCCTGGCCGCGCTCGACCTCACCGGCGACACGCTGCAGCAGGTCATGAAGATGGCGAATCTGGCGGCGGCGGCGGCGGCGGGTCAAAACGGCGACCGAGTCGGCTCCTCGCGGCTTGAGATTCCGTCTGGTTTGGGCCGATCGCGCATACCCAGCGAAGGGACGGAGTCGTCGGATACGAGATCCGTGAGCGAGGGAAGCATGGGCTCGACAATCAGCCCAATCGCGAGCCCATAGATGTAAAAGGCGATATTATAATGTAAAATTCAGCCACTGATATGACTGTACCATTCTCTTTTCTTCTTTCGCTACAGTTTTCGTATGCAATGCCTGCCCAGAAAGTAATACCCGAAGTTGTCCTTCTCTATGCCTATCGGCCTTGTTCGTCTATGCCCATCGCTGTGTCTTTTGTTACCTCGTGGCTTTGTTCCGTCATTCCGCTTCGTTTGAATTCTATATCGTGCCCAAGAAAAAGTCTCTAATTCCAAATTCATACCCCATTTGCCGTAATTTCATCCCCCCCCCCAATTTGCCCACATTTTCCCCCCTTTGTATTCATTCCCCCATGTCATTGCGCTCCATTCGTCTTGGCGTGACCAGTATCCTCGTGATAAAGATCATTCGTCTTGATGTATTCGTAAACGGGCTGCGCGAGATCAAGTACGCGCTCGCCATTCTTGAGCTGCGCGCGAATCTTTGTCGAGCTGACGTCGTTTTCAAACGCCTCGACGACCCAAATCTTATCATCGTGTCTGCGCAGCGACGCGAGCGCCTTGTCCGTCTGCGTCTGCATCGGCCGCTCAATCACAAACGCGCCGTAGCGCCCGAGAATGGCGTCGACGTCGGCCGTCGGCCACTGCTTCGTGTCGCCCATGGTGGCGGCGACGTCGGCGCCCATGAGCAGCGCAATGTGCGCCTTGACTTTGCCGAGGCCGTCCGACGTCTCGATGCCGCCGTCGCCGTGGTTGATTTCGCGGTCCACGTGGTCCAGCACGTCGACAGTGCTGGTGTATACGGGCTCAAGGGTCGTGGCGTCGCAGCGCAGCGCCTCCCACGGGTCGACCATGATGTCCGTGTTGGCGACGGCGAGTTGGCACATGGCTAGTCGGTGGTGCGCGCGCGCCAGCGCGGGCTTCTTGTAGGCGTCGCTCACGGGGCTGAGGTAGCTGCCGACTACCTCAAATTCGGAGGCGCTGCTACGCTGCTGCTGCTGGGCCGACTGGACGTGACGCTCGGCCATGTGAAACATTTGTACGTGCAGCACGGTGATGGGCGAGTAGCTGCCGCACGCTACGAGCACGAGCGGCGTCTTGCCGGGCCGTGTCAGGCGCCGGCGCAGCTTGTCGACGGGAAAGGTATACGGGCTCATGGTGGTGAGGGGGGCCGCGGCCGGCGCTACGGCGTCATCGTGGGCGAGGAGGCCATTGGTGACTGCGGCGGCGCCTGAACCAGTGCCGTTGGTGGTCGTATTTGATGCGTCCATTATGAGGGACAGAAAAGGTTGGCGTGCGCGGCGATGCCGTCCATGCGCGATGCGAGAATAAAAGAGCCGGGGAACCGAGGTCGTGAGTTTTATAACGGAATTTGGTTCACAGCGTGCTGCCTGCGAATCCTGATGTCGGAGGGCCCGTAGGCGGCCCCGCTGAAGCCTGGGGTGCGTCAATAGGCAGTTGCCGTCATTACTCAGTAAATCTCGCACTAAAAAAAGGGAACTATCATTGAACTTGACTGGTAGCCGTATCAATGCTGTTAATCAGCGCTTCATAAATCTTGCAAAAATAACCAAAATTGGGTATACAGTCTTTTAGACACTGTGTTCGCACTGTTGATATCTCAGGGGTAGGGTTGTAACCGTAGAACGTAGACTTTGCTTCAACAGGGAGAACTCGGTAGACATATGCATGCATCGGATAGCGCTTTTCAACCGACACGAGAGAAGCGTGCTTAGCACCTTAAACTGGTTTTGATATCTGCAAAAAAGAAATTCAAGGTCGCTAGCGCTAGCATTCCAAAAGCTCATAGTGTCCATAGATTTAAATCCGATTTGACTAGATTTAATTGACATTTCGAGTCCCTGATTCTACGCCCCACCGCAAAATCACCCCGCCACATTTGTCCAGCTTCCAGCCGCACTGCCTCTCTGGCAACAACTCAGATTGAGCCCGCGATCCATCCTTAAACAAACAAGCAGACAAAGCTGTGCACGGTGGCGGGCCTCAAGCGCAAAATGGACGACTATGGCAGCGAGACGGATAGCGACTATACGAGCTACTGGCGAGACTGGGTGCGTTTTCCCGAGCGGGCGTCGCGGACACGCGAGTGACAAGCAACAAAGCATTCCAGGAGAAACAAAATCTGGATGAACATTGAGAAATCTAACACGCTTTGCAGTTCATCTCATCCCGCGGCAATGAGTACTTTTGCGAAATCGACGAGGAGTACCTCATGGACCGCTTCAACCTGACGGGCCTCAACACGGAAGTGCAGTACTATCAGTACGCGCTGGATCTCGTCACCGACGTCTTTGATCTCGACTGCGACGACGAGATGCGCGAGACGATTGAAAAGTCGGCGCGGCATCTGTACGGCCTGGTTCACGCGCGTTACATAGTCACCACGCGTGGCCTCACCAAGATGGTACGCCGAAATAACCCAGCAACCCCCCCCCCCCCCTTTGCCCCCATCAAAGAAACGAAGCGTTCACTCGCAAAAAAGGACGGTCTTTCGTCAGGCTAACTGAAGCACAGCTGGAAAAGTACAAAAAGGCCGAGTTTGGCAAATGCCCGCGCGTGGACTGCCTGCTGCACCCGCTGCTCCCCATGGGCCTGTCCGACGTGCCCAACCACCGGCCCGTGAAGCTGTACTGCGCGCGGTGCGAGGACATTTACAACCCCAAGTCGTCGCGCCACGCCGCCATTGACGGCGCCTACTTTGGCACCTCGTTCCAGAACATCATGTTCCAGGTCTACCCGGCCCTGATCCCCAGCAAGAGCCTTGAGCGCTACGTGCCCCGCGTCTACGGCTTCAAGGTCCATGCCGCCGCCGCCCTCGTCCGTTGGCAGAATGCCCAGCGCGACGATATGCGTGAGCGTCTGCGTCAGGCGGACATTGAGACGCGATTTCGCGATGACAGCGCCGCCGAGGAGGAGGACGATGTTGAGTTTGAGGGTGTGGACACGCGGGTGGCGCGGGTGCATTGAAGAATTTATACACACATGGCAGTCTCACATAACGAACGCGGGGGCAAAGGGATTCTTCTTGGCGTTTTATGGGTCGTCTTTTTAATTGGCATGGTAGCAATCAATGAATATACGTTTTCCTGCAATAGATTTTCACAACTGTGCATGTAAAAGACATCTTGCAAACATTGAAAATAAATTCATGGGGATATCTTTTGCTGAACGACGGGTTAATTACAACTAGACTCGGTTATCGCCCTGGTTAAGTCTCTGCAACTCGACATCTTCATATTCAGCACTGTATTGCCCATTGTACTGGCTGGTCGCCTCGGGATGCTGAACGGAGCGCTGGTTGCCACCGCGCGAGACTGCGGTCGGCGGATAGGCTTGCATGTCGGCAGATTCGGCCACATGGTCCGAACGGGCATTGACAAAGCCAACATTACCAACGCCTGCCCAGAATGCGCGTGCAGAGCTGCGGGGGCCCCAGGCCCAGCCCGCGCCATCCTGGATCGGCATATGGTAATAGCGGAAGCTGTAGATGGCGCAGATGGTGCCAATGAGGAAACCAAACAGAATATCAAATCCATGATGGCGATAATTAAACCAGCGTGACGCAGAAATGGTAATTGCTAGACAGAATGGAACCAGGGTAATGACGAGTAGGAAAACGGGAGGAGCAGCGGCACGCATGCGCGCGCCTTGGATTTTCTCATTGGTGCTCCTTTTTGCGCTGAGTGGCCAGCTGGCATCGTGGCCGTCCTCATAGCCGTTTTGCGGGCGCGCTTCCGCCTGTCCTAGGCGAGAAGGGAAAGCACCGTGCGAAGAAGCATTGTCACTTGAACCAGGCATGATCCAGGGAAGTGTCACGGCAAATTTGCTCGCTAAGAATAGCGAGAGGTAGATCAAGCCACCGGCCGAGGCCGAGGCGTGACCGCTGGGGTAGCTACGGAAGCCGTCCCAAAGCTTGGACTCGTCCGTCTCGGTGCAGATGGCGGCGGAGTAGAGGTGTCCGTTCGCGCCTGTAATCTGGAAGCCGCCTACAATGTACTTGTCGGCGTTGGCCATGTCGGGCTTGCATCGGGACAGCATGTCGGGCCGTGGCTTGCCGCACATGTTCTTCAAGCCGCTAACAAAGAACCAAGCGGATCCGACAGCCATAAGCAGGCCGAGCCAAGTGATTTGCAATTCCCAGAGCTTGCGCTTCCAAACGAGCAGAGCGGGGGTGCCCTTGGGCACGGTGCCGCCGGGAACGAAGATGAGGGTCACGACGAGCACCACAATGACGGGAATGACGCCGCAGCAGACAAAGAGAAGCTTGTTGGAGAAGGTTTCGTGGTCGGCGAAAGGAAAGCTGCGCAAACTTCGTTAGCAGAATAAACCAACCATTTTCAAGAAACGGGCACGCACGCAATATTCGGGTCGGCGAGCGAAAAGTTGCGAAAGTTTGGTTTGATGTTGCCAAGAACATAGGAGCCGACTGCAAGACCGGCGAGAAGAATCCAGTCGATAATGTACGACGCTATAAGAGGGATCGAAAACTGCTGTCGCAGAGCTGCGGCGGTTCCTGTGGCCGCCATCTTTTCGTACGTTGGCATGAGTTGCTAGGAAGGAAAAGAGACTCCGGCGCGTCGGCCGGAAAGAGGTGAGAGTTTACCACCAGAACAGTTCAAGTGACGTGAGTGGAACTCTGCAGGTTCGGGCGCGGTGGGAAGCTAATACTAATATAGGGATCAAAGGAAAGTCAGCGGCTAGCGGACAACGTAAGCTGGCGACGGCGATCGGGCTATGGCAATGCAATGGTAAGCCAAGACCTCCTGAAAGGGTCATGTCATGTCGGCCAAGTCATTATTAGGTCGCAAAGTGGAATCCACTGCGGACTCTGGGGGGAGGCTGTGTGTGAACAAGGCGCAGTGGGCGAGACATTAGGACCCAGCGCATACCTGACTGACAACGCCCTTTACCCAATCAACAGTGCCAAGCTCAAGCTTTTCAGTACCGAAAATCAAAAATCTATCCACCTACGCTTGCGCGCTGGCAAGACCGGGCGGCTGCTGCGACACCTTTTTGCTTCTTGGGCTGAGGGAGGTTTGGCTTGTGCGGAGCCCTACGCACCCGAGTCCCGCGACACCCTGGCTGAAAATCGCACAGCGCAGCGCCCATCGTGGCGCAATATTTAATCTGCGTCGCTTGAAGCGGAAGTGGATCGTGTGCTGTGGCTCGGGATAAGGGGCGGAAAAAAAAGACAAGATGACAGCGAGACGGAAAATTTACAAACGAAGAAAAGATGATGCGGTAAATTGATAGTTGGCGAAGCTTATGAAGAAATTGTTTCGGTGTTGCAGCTGGCAGCCGGCACGAGGAGCCGTCGCGGGCGCAAACTGCCAGCACGTGTGCAACAAAGGATTATTGCATAGGCACCTACCTTACAAACGGACCACAGCTTGACAGCCAAGCACACCCACTGTAGACTGTGCAAACAGTCATATGCAAGTACGGGGCGCAGCATATGCACCGGTGAGTCCTTTGAACAATGCTGATACTTCATGGCTATGATACAGGACATAATGTACACGGCTCTGCCAGAGCCAATGCCCGTCTAGAAATACACCGCTTTTCCTGGTCAGATGTTTCAACCTGTTCTCTTCTTCCTCTGCACGCCGTGGTTGCGTGGCCTTGGCACGGTCACCCACTTGTTGACGTTGCTCTTGCGGCGCGTCTTGTAGCCACTCTTGGTCTGCGGAAAGTTAGTACTCTGGGCGAGTTCGAATTATTGAAGAGAAAACATACAGGTCGGCCCCAAGGCGTAACGGGGTGACGGTTACTCTTGGACTTGCCTCGTCCACCACCGTGAGGATGATCAACTAAATGCCGTTAGATGCCACATGGAACCAAACATTGCAAGAAAGGGGAAATAGAGGACGTACCCTTGTTCATGGCCAGACCGCGCACCGTTGGGCGAATATTTAACCAACGCTTACGGCCGGCTTTGCCGAGTTGGCGGTATTGGTGGTGAACATTACTGGCAACACCAATTGTTGCGCACGCCTGCTTGCTGACCTTGCGGACTTCGCCACTCTGAAGTCGGACTTCGACATACTTGCCAGTCACAACCTTGACACCATCTGACCTGGTCTCCTCGTCCTTGTTCATGACCGTAGCGTAGGTACCCGCACTGCGGCAGAAGACGGCACCGCGCTTGGCGGCAGAGCCCACGCAAAATACCTGTGTTCCCACGGGAATCATATGCATCGGCAGACAGTTTCCAGGGAAGGCTGTTTTGGCAGCGAGAATACCAGGATCGATAGTACCACCCATGCTGTTGAGCAGATCCTGAGGGATGCCCGCGCGGTAGCTGTGAACAACATCACCAGCTCGCAGACCATCAGCCGCAACAATATATGACTTGCGTGCAGTGGCCTTTTCCGTGAGCAGGGCAATGTGTGCACTACGGCCAGGGTCATATTCGATTCGCTCGACCAGATGCGGGCCAGGACGGTTGCGCACGAAATCAACGATTCTTATTCTGCGCTTGTGACCACCTCCGCGGTGACGAACTGTAATGCGGCCGTAAACGTTGCGACCACCCTTTCCGTGGCCCTTTTTCGGTATCGTTAGAGGCAGATGTGCGCGACCCTTCCACAGATGATCGTTGATTGGCCGTCGCAAGTGACGCACGCCTGGAGTTCTGGGCTTGTAGGTGCGGATGGTCGAGGACTGCGACGCTGCTTTGGCAATGCTGGGCGCCGAATCCGGCGTGGCAGCGGTCGCGAAGCTGCGAATCGGAAGCTGTGTTGGCGCAAAGCGAATGAACGCCCTGGCCAGGGTGGGAAGTCGTGGTTGCAGCATCGTGGAATGTGCCACGAGCGGCGAGATCTAAAATAGGAGGTTGTGAATGCAGAGTAACGCGAGTAATCAATTGACCGCTCCTGCAGCAATTGCCTGCAATACAGAGCAGCAAAGGACTGAAGCAGCACAATAGAGCAGGTCGAGCTCAGTTGCTCAATTGCAATGCAGGCAGCGGCTCCGGCACTGATTGATGGCTGTGTCGTCCGTCGTGGTGCAATGAAGCTTCAAGTTTTAGAAATGGGAAAACATTTTGCCGAGATCGAACAATTTCGCGCCACAGGCCCGTGGTGCTACGCCACAGGTTGAGGGCCGGGGTTCGCGTTAAGCCACAGGAGCGTTGTGCGTGTAGACCCGCTTGAGAATGAAAGCCAATGAGGAAGCCGTTGCTTGGCCGTTGCCAATGTTGACAAGCTACTACTCTAGGCGGTACGTACCGTGTGGCACCTTCGCTGCATGGTCTCGCGAACAGCAGCATCCACTGTCGCGTTGTGAGTCGTCTGCGGCCCTCGTTCGGCCTCCACTGTCGCCAAAAAGCACGTCTTTCTGTACGCCTGTTGACCGGGTTGCCCGCCCTAGCCCTGGTTTGAGGAAAATCTTGTTTGTCAGGAGTATTGATTCTTGTGCGAGGAAGAAGCCATCGTTAGAAGCTGAGAAAGTGAACGGCAGTGTTGCCTACATGAATTGTTGCCTACTAGACATTGTTTACACCATCAGCATCCGGCCTCGTACACACCTCGCACTGATTCAACTTGAACATTTGGTAGCGTGTTGAATCGCAAATCCCTCCAGATAGCGTCTCATATCCCCGCTCGTCGGTGGGACAAAGCTCTATCTGACCTTTCTCACTGGACCTTGTGCCTGGGCGACCAAGCAACCAAGAGGCGTCGCGAACCGCGCCAGTGTTCCGTCAAAAGGTACGTACCTGCGGCGCGCCTGGTCCACCACAGTGCTGGTACCTTTCTACCTAAATACCGGCCACCCACTCGCGCCTCTCCCTGGCTCTCTACTCTCCAGACTCCGCTGAGCTGCTCCGCCCGTCAAAACACCTCCAACGCCCTCAAGCTACCATTTCCTTGACATAAACATCGCTCCCTCGCCCTACTCACCAGTGCCATTTACTTCTAGCCCGCCCATCACTTCTCTCTCTCTTTTTGATACTCTTTGCTGCATTCGCATTTGCATCTTTCTTTGGGCTGAGGCACCTTTTACCTGCTCAAGCATAACCTTTGGACCCATATCTCGACGCCAACATTCCAATCGCGCTGTTGTGACCGTACCTCATCTAACCTCAATCCAAAAGGTGCGTTGGCAACCAGCTCTGGGCTAGCTTGCATCGCTCCAATGTCTCGGGAGCTTCCTACTTTTATTCCCTTTTCTCCGTGTCCTGCTTCTATCTCTCTCCTTCACCATCTCGACGCGTATCAGGGACGGCACTAACGGTTTCAATCCAGCAGAATAGCATCTAGTTACGTGCTACGCGCAGATACTAGATTATCATGCCTGTTGTGAGTTCGGTCCTTCTCTTTTTTTTTTATCATGACACGTGCTGACTCGTCCCAGGCGGCTAGAACAACCCGTCGGGCGGCGGTCGCCAATGAGAACGACGAAAACAGCAACACGCGTATGACGACCAGGGCCGCCAAGGCTGTTCTCGGTGACGATGGCCGAGTCACCAAGGGTGCTCTCCAGACCAAGCGCACCGCCAGCGTTGCGGCCAGCACTCGCGGCGCGCTCAACGATGTGAGCAACCGTGCAAGGACCGAAACGGTTGCCAGCAAGAAGCCTACTGGCAAGGGGGCCTTTGTTTCCAAGGCGAACCCTACCTCGCAGAAGCCACCGGCGCGTGCTGCTTCCAAGCCGGCCCCAAAAGAGCAGCCCAATCGCGTTGAGAAGCGATCTTCCGTCAATGGGACCGCTCAAAAGCGAAAGAGGTCTGAGCAGGAAAAGGAGAACCTCTTGCATATTGCCAAGGAGCCTGTTGCTGAAACAAAACCCGACATGAAGACCGAGAGCAAGACCGAGAGCAGGCCCATCTTCGACGAGATCGACGATGAGGACCGTGACGATCCTCTCATGGTTGCCGAGTATGCTACTGAGATTTTTGAGTATCTGCGCGACTTGGAGTGCAAGTCTATTCCCAATCCTCAATACATGCAGCATCAGGATGAGCTCGAGTGGAGCACGCGTGGTATCCTTGTCGACTGGCTCATTGAAGTCCACACGCGTTTCCATCTCCTTCCCGAGACATTGTTTCTCGCCGTCAACATTGTCGACCGCTTTCTCTCGAAAAAGGTCATTCAGCTCGACAACTTCCAATTGGTCGGCATCACTGCCATGTTCATTGCCTCCAAGTATGAAGAGGTCCTTTCTCCCTACATTGGCAACTTCAAACGCATCACAAACGACGGATTTACGGAGGAGGAAATTCTGAGTGCCGAGCGCTTTGTCCTCAGCACCCTCGACTACGACCTCAGCTATCCCAACCCCATGAACTTTCTCCGTCGCGTGTCCAAGGCAGACAACTATGACATTCAGTCTCGCACAATTGGCAAGTATCTTACCGAGATTAGCCTTCTGGATCACCGCTTCATGGCATTCCGCCCCAGCCACGTCGCTGCCGCTGCCATGTACCTGTCCCGCTTGATGCTTGACCGTGGTAAGTGGGACGATACGCTCGCACATTACGCCGGCTACACTGAGGAAGAACTGGAGCCAGTTGTGCAGCTCATGGTCGACTACCTCGCCCGCCAAGTCGTACATGAAGCATTTTTCAAGAAATACGCAAACAAGAAGTTTCTCAAGGCCTCGATCATCTCTCGCTCATGGGCCAAGAAGAACGCTCCTGTCTTTGGCATCACCGACACAAGCTTGTCTATATATCAAATCGACGAATAAAGACTGCTATAATTTCGATACCTCTCTGGATAGCATTTGCGATTGGATTGCGTTTACATGGCAATAATAATAGCATGGCCGCTCACGCTCTGGAGCGCCGGCCCTACATGAAGGCAGCACCCTGCCTGGATTAACGAGCAGTCTTGTGGCCGAATGATTCGGCATTTCCTCGCCAGCAATACCTTTTTGTTGTTTACACTTTTTTTTTTGCGGCACAAATTCATGCCATTATTTCATACAAGGCGCTTGGAGTCATTGGCAAAGGGCTAACGGATATTTATTTTGGAGTTGTTGATATTTGGTTGAGCCGGACTGTCTGCCGAATTCGTGGTGCAAGCCAGAATCGCGACAGAAATAGTGTACATATTCCGCAATCGGGCTACGGTGGTCTCGTTTTCGGGAGTAATGAAATGCATTGACATGAAGCTGTTGATAGATATTTGACCGTTGCCACTACTTGATTTGTTTGTTGTTGCTTTGTTGTTGTGACGCCTCGGCCCGAGTCTCCACCTGCCGGTCACTACCTATGGTGGCCTACTCAGCCAGCCCGCGTAACAGCAAAAAATGCAGCTTTGAAATCGGTGAGGGAGCTGAACCTGTGTTTCCCCGTGGGCCGGCTTACTTGCTCAGCAGGGAGTGATCGGCGGGCTGGGCCCGTTTGTTTACGTGCATCCGCATACGGCGACCAGGCGATGCATCAGCTGCAGAGTTTATTTTCTTCACTCACTAAGCCTTGGCCGAGGAAAGAGAAGAAGGAATTGACGGTGAAAGATTGCACTGACCTGTTAAAATGCGAGACTTTCTGGCTGCGACATTTGTCGTTGACTTGATATGACAGCAATAGGGTAGGCGCCTTGGCGCACCTCACAACGGCGAAACACAGAGGTGAATGGCCATTTGTACAGCCACTGCACATGACAGAATATTTACATTCAATGAAATGCTTGACACACCTTTCTTCGGTACGGAACTGTGGTATGGAGTAGAAATTAGAGACTTAGACGGCTGGACGTTGTGGCGGGCCTGCATCACCACGTTTCTCGCCCAACATCAGCATGCACCAAACACTTCTTCCCGAACACAAAAAACGAGGAGAGAGACGAGAGTACAAAAAAAAAAAAAAAAAAACCATCCTGGGTAAGTGTCAATCAACTACCTTTATTCAAGATACAGTATATAGTTTACTAAGCTAAAGGTAGAACATACATCATGGCTTGTAAGTCAAGCACCTTTATATGCCGAAGCTGACTACGTACGCGCCCAGTGTTGGAAAAATTTCTGCGCGAGTAAAATGACATATGTGATAGAGTTAAACCACCATCATTCATTATCTCTGCACTTTCATCATTGTATACCTTAGCCACTCAAAACTTTCTGTACGCCGCCGACGATGTCATGCTGGTTTGGCGCGCGTTATGTGGGGCACTACTGTTATAACCATAGCTCAACGTCGCACTCTGGACGTCTTTTCTATCATCATCAACGGGTAAACAGCGATTGAGCATTGCGCTTTGGGCAGATATACCCGATAAAACACCGCCAAACTTGACGCCATGGCGCCAGTCCTGCGACATAGGCAGAGCCTCTCCAAGGATCGTTTTCCTGCATATTTTGGCAGCCTGCGCAGCCAGCCCTACTCGGACCCCAACACATCACGAGCGCCTGGCGCCAACAAGTAAGCTCACGCGGTTTCGGTCCCCGCCCCCCCAAATCGATCGATTGCATGCTAACACTGTATAGTAATCTAAGATGCATCGCGTGGAATCCGCTAGGGACGCTGGTAGCTACAGGATCAAGCAGCAAGACGCTGCGAGTTTGTGAGTTTTGCTTTCATGTGAGGGTGAAAGTGAGAGACGGAATGAAATATTGACCAAGGTACGAATGAAAAAGGGAACCCTGAAAAGGCGCACGTCAAGTTTTCAACGGAGCTCAAAGGTCACGCCGCGCCTATTGAAAAGGTTGCCTTCAACCCGACCAAGGATGCGGAGCTGTGCAGCGTCAGCAGCGACGGCGTCGTCAAGTTCTGGGATGTGCGCACCAAGGCCTGCTTCAACGAGGTGTCTGGGCTCGGAGATGCCTTTACGCTGGCGTGGGCACCAGACGGACAGACGCTCATTGTCGGAAACAAGGTGAGAAGAGGGCCCTCCTTGCGCCGACTCCCGTGTCTGCACGTATATGTGTACTCGTTGTTGCTAATCTGCCATAGGCCGACATCATACACGTGCTCTCGCCAACGTCCACGACACCCATCTCGTCGCACCAGCAGCCGGTCGAGACGAACCAGGTTGCGTTTTGCTGGAGCGGGACCAAAGTCTTTGTCACGACAGGCGACGGGCGCACGCGCATCCTTGCGTACCCGTCCTTTACGCCGGTCCTGGAGCACGTGGTCGAGAGCGACGGGGGCGACGGGGGCGACGGGGGCGACGGGGAACAGGAACAGGACCAGGGACGGACGAAGCGCGAGTTTGCGCTGAGCGGGCACACGTCGTCGTGCCTGACGGTGGAGATGCAGCCCTCGGCGCGGTACCTGGCGACGGGCGGCTCAGATTCCGTCATTGCGTTGTGGGACACGACGGATTGGCTGTGTACGCGCACGCTGACGAGGATGACTGGACCTGTGAGGAGTTTGAGTATGGCGCCCGCCCCTTTCTTCCTGGCAACGTGTCAAAACGATTCGAACAACTGACTGCTTCTATAGGTTTCACATTTGATGGCAGTTACATTGTGGGGGGCAGTGATGAGGGTACGTTTTTCATATTTTTTTTTTTTTTATATATCTTGCTCTCTTTTGCCTTGCCGGGACTTGGGCACTCTTTACTTGGCTGTGCTAACGGTGGACTAGGCAATGGTTTGGACGTATGTCATGTTGAGACGGGCGAGCTAGTGCATAAATTCAAAACAGCAGGTTCCTGCCCGGTGGTAGCATGGGCTCCGACTCGGTATTGCTTGGCATATACGGATCTAGGAGTGCTGCGTATTGTAGGCGTGGATGTGGATAAGAAGTAGATCAAGTCTCTCAAAGTATAAAATGATATATATGAAGATATTTTGAAAGCGAAACTGAAAAGAAAAATATAAGAATAGCAAATGACTTTGTTTAGTGCGTGATTTCAGATTCAGAAGAAGACAATGTGTTCAAAGACTAACCAACCAACAAACCGCGAGTGAATTTTTCAAGCTCGTACTATGATACATTTCGTCGCTTAGACTCCGTTGCTCTATTTCGTCAGATTCTCAAGACAGGTTTAACAAAAAAAGTAATTAGTCAGTGTGAAACTTGTAAGGATCGTCAATGTCAATCAGGCCTTGTTCAAACAGCTCCCTCGCCACTGGGTACACGGCGCGCGCCATGTTGCTGCGACGCTCAAGAATGTAGCGGGGCGTAATGCGATCGAAGCCTGGAATCTGAAAATCGTCCTGGTTGTGGTGGAAGGCGTGCAACATGTAAGTCCTTGACCAGTCCTGTGCCCACTCCGGCCGCCTCTGGGGCGCCGACCACCGGGTCATGGGCTCCTCGTCGTCGTACTCGGGCAGGTGGCCGTCGGGCGACAGCATGTCGAGGCTTGACATATCGTCGTCATGCACCTCGAGCAGACGAACAGTGTCGTCGCTCTTCCAGCTGCCAGGCGCGAAGGCGTTGCGCTCCATGATGAGCACCTCAGAGGCTTCGGCGACAAGGCGCTCGCAGACGACGGTTAGCACGCCGTTACTATGCGCCGTCCACTCGCCGGTAAAGGCCTCGTTCATGCCCTCGCTCCACAGCTCAATCATACGGCTGTGCGGCTTACTCATGAAGACTCCCGAGTTGATCTCGGCGCCCTGCTGGCGGCCGGTGACGGCGTGGAAGCCACTCTCGCGGAGCACGCGCACATCGCGCAGCGGATGCACGTCAAAGTCAAGGTAGACGCCGCCGTGCTCGCGTATAGCTTGCACTCGCACAAAGTCTGACTTGTGCTCTATGAGGCGGATCTCCTTACCACTCTGCGCGTGCGTCGGCACCGTAGCGGCGGCGATGCGTAGGTTTGGCACCTGGAACAGAAGCTGCGTCCACTTGCCGGCGGCGCCACTCCGCGCGCGCTCGAGGGCCTCGGTGGGTGCGTTGGTGTGTAGGTAGATGGCGTCAGGCCGCCAGTAGTGAGAGGTGGCGTAGATGGAGAGTACCTCGGAAAAGGCAAAGGAAAAGTCGCCTGAGACGTTGGCGAGGATGTAGACATAGTGGGCTGTGTTGGGGATGTACTCGGGCGTCGTGTCGACAACGAGCTCCTGCTCGGAAATGGTCTCGTGGTCGTCAACGGTCTTGGACGACGTGATGCGCGAGTAGGGCACGAAGTCGTGACCAAGGCCGAGAAAGAGCGATAGAAACAGCAAGGTGCCTAGACACGACAGCACCAGAACGGTGCTATTTAGCTGTATCGAGGATCTCATGGCGAGGAGGAATATGTTAGTTGTTTGAGTGCGAGCGTGGGCGTGATCCAGTCGAGTCAAGTATAGGCCATCACGAGATTCGCAAGCTGAGCATATAATTGTAGTGAAATGAAGAGAAGTTATTCGTTTAGTAGAGTAAGGAAGGAGTCAACGAAAATCATGAAGAGAAGGTCGAGGACAAAGGAAGGGCAAATGAACAGTCAACGACAGACGAGAAAGCAGACCAAAGTTCGAAAGGAATGGAACGTAAACCTTTCCCGCAAGTCATGTTGAAATTGATCAGCTAATGGAAAACAGGGGGGAATGTTGACGCCTTATGGGACTTCTGCGTGGAAACAGAACGCATAGTTCTCAGCAAGTCATCTCTGTTAGACTTGATCAACTAATGGGACAAGGGGTCAATGTCGACGCTTATCGGGCTGTCTGTTCTCGGACGACTATTTCATTTTCCCATAATTCTCCATTTCGTGTAGTCAGTGTGGCGCCAAGAGAAGAAAAAAAAAATCGACGTAGCATTTTCAGTTTGATTCGGCCAGAAGCAGCCAACGGGCGTTGTCTGTGCATGTCCCTTGCGCTCAGCCTCATACCGAACAGTGTGCGCTCCTTGCCGACAGAAACCAAAACTAGGTTTATTATGTCACCGAGGTGGATGAAGCCACCATTCGGGTTGTCGTAATAAAGGGATCCCACGCAGAGCCTGATGCGTGACCCTCGTGGCGATGGTGCTGGTCCGCATGTCGTCAAAAGAATGGGCGGATGCGCCACCATAACAGGGAGCTTGGCGATTAACCCCATTCGTCCAAGTCGCAAGGATTCGCGTAATGTTGCTGGACTAGAAGCAGTGCATAGACGCTTTCTTAACAAAAAGTGCCTCTACTCCGTAAAATATTGATCAGCATTATATGCGAATATGGTGGTGATTTTGCTCTGAAATACCTTGGACTTACCACATTGTAGGGATAAGCGGGTGGTTCCGGGGCTCCCTTATTATGATGACACGAATGTGGCTTGCCAGCCGAGGCTGCACTTGGCATAGTCTATCTAGTAAGGCAAGGAGTCTAAACTAGTTAGAAGAGAAGAACGGAGAGCAAACTTTCTTTTATTGGCAAAAGAGACCCTTGTGGCGCATCGCGAATGAGCGGCTGAACCGGAGACACGCTGCGCTTTGGGCTGTCACGCCGGCAGGCAGCAGGCCAGGCCTGTCATCGAGCAAAAAGGGAAGGGGACTAGCGGTTATTTCAACAGCTGACATACCTCTGTATGATCACAAAGATTTAAACCATGACTCGCCCGACGTACCTAGATGTGATGAAAACGTTGCGTCTAAATCCACGCCAGTAATGTACCAATAGTCTCTTAAAACGGCAAGGGTAGGACATCTCTGTCCGGAAAAAGCTAAGCAACTACTAATAATTGAGGAGCTGAGCCCAGTTTCGCTAAGATGTCAAAGACTCGTAATCGTACAAGTAAAATCATGATCCATAGCCCAGCGTTGAGCAATTTGGGATGATGCCGGCTTTTTCTTCCTTAGCTTGGTGAACTCAGAGAGACGCCATCAAGATGGACGTTCCTGAAGATCCGGTGCTGCCCACGTGGACAAGTATAGATCAAACACTTGCCTATTGACAAAACAATTTGCGAGTTAACAGTCACATTTATGAGATTCAGAAACCGAGCTCCTCCACTTACCATTAAAGATATAAGCAAAATAGCCCAATA